CTACTGATTCAATATGGTCTAATGTAATCCTTACAACGTTTGTACGTTTCTTCTAGGTCTATCTTGGCCCTATAATTGACATGTTCAACATGATAATAGTATAAATATTTTCATCTTGTGTTTGGTCCAAAGAATGTAGTTTTGAAACCTATTATCGCAGCTAAGACGCGTAAAATCCTCGAGGTTTTTCATCTGAAAGAGTTAAAAAGAATTTTAATTCAAGAAGTAACACAAGTCAACACTTGAGTCTGATGATGTTCAATTCAAAGATGGATGTGAAGAATAAATTTGTCAATGTTGATTGCATTCTATCTACAGGGTTTCAAACAGCCAACCAATTGTGTGTTCCTATTATTTTTTTTAACATTGAAGAGAGTTTTATTAGGAAGTTCGAAGATTAATGTCTTACACCATTCTTCATGTTAAAACTTGTGGATTACTTTCGTCTAGCAATGAGAGAAATGGATTAGGTTTAAATTTTCTGAATAAATTAGCAATTATAATTCTTCTAAACATAGAAGCATACATTGTTTGGGAATCTCTTATGAATATTTTAGTTTGAGGATTTTATTCTTTTTCTACAGAATATGAAATCTCAATCTTATTAAAAAATATTATTAAGTATTTATTGGTCTTAAGTATTTAGTTTCTCTATTCATTAGCAAATCTTACTAAGTACTTATTGAGAAATAATATGAAGTATTCAATCCTTTTTAAGTATTTCATTTCCCTTTTCCTAAATAATTCTTTAGAATTTTTTCTGTTTTTGTGGTCATGTAATGTTATTAAAATCATTATAAGGCTTAAACAATTCTCGTGTGCAATGTAATTTTTTTTTTACACCGTGCTCCTTACAAGAAAAATACTGAGTCTAATAAGTTGGAGTAAAAAATACAGATTTAACTGAGAAAAAAATGAAGTTTTAAGAGGAAAATAGCCAGAGATACAGCAGCAGGGTATAGGTAAGGCTGAGGCAGATAATGCTAAGTGAGTGAACAACAAATAGTACAGAGGTTGCATACCTTGTGAAAATTAAAAGCCGAACCTAGGCAGCAAAACGTTGCTAAAGAAATTATCCAAGAAGAGGAAACATAGCATTCACCTCACTCAGTTTCACTTTTCCAGTTTGGAACATTATTTTGGGGAAATCCTTATGAAACATCACCAAAAATCATGGCAGGAACAGCAACCATCCATAAAATGGTGAAATCGCAAAGAATCTCTTACAATGATCTTTATACCAACGATCTTCGCTACGAACTTCATGGCATTATGACAGTCCCCACATATTCTCAAATTTTTAAATACAGTAACTGATGTTTTCCCACTCAAATTCAATATCCCAAAAGCAACAGCAAGTTTTTCACTGTGGTTGCAAAGAATATCCTCCTTCATGTCTTGATCAACATCTTGCAGAACAAAATCTGTGTTGGGTGCATAGCCAGCTAATCTCATCTTTTCACGCAAATCGTCAAGAAATCTATATATTTCGTCATTTTGTTCATTGCTCTTATCACCAGCAGAAAAAGTATAAACTTTGTTTCTCACCCAAACCCAGCTACAACCTGGTGCTTTCACAATTCCTCTGTCTCTCATCAGCTTCCTGATTTTAGAAGCCTCATCCCATAGCTTTGCAGTAACTAAAATGTTGGATAACAATACATAGTTTCCAGGGTTATTGGGTTCAATCTCAAACAATCTGCTTGCAGTAGCTCTTCCCAAATCCACATTTCGATGCAATCTGCATGCAGAGAGCAATGCCCCCCAAGCACTAGCAGTTGGTTCTCTAGGCATTCTTTGTATGAACTCAAATGCCTCATTCAGTCTACCAGCACGGCCTAGTATATCAACCACACACGAGTAGTGATCTGAATCAGGTTCGACGGAGTGATCCCTACTCATTGAATTGAAAACCAGCAAGCCTTCATCAATAAGTCTTGAGTGGCTGCAGCCAGAGAGAACACCAATGAAAGTAACAGAATTTGGTTTGACACCAGAGTCTATCATTCTGTGGAATAGCAGCAAGGCTTCCCTCCCATTGCCATGCATGGAATATGAAATGATCATTGTGTTCCAGGCAACAGTGTCTTTTCTTTCTAGAATATTAAAGATTGTGTATGATTTCTCCATCTCACCACATTTGGCATACATGTAAACCAGAGCCGTCATAAAGATCAAGTCCCCAGTGAATCTATGCCTAAAGATATAACCATGAATCTCTCTGCCTCCTCTTAAGTTTTCCAAATATGTAAAAGCAGGTAAGACGCTAGCAATCGTAAGAAAATTAGGCTTGAACCCTTCCTTCTGCATCTCAGCAAGTGTCCTTAGAGCCATTTCATTTTTCCCATTCTGTACACACCCACCAATAACAGCATTCCAAGAAGCATGATTCAGTTGACCCCTTTCTCTCCTTCTGTAAAATAAATCAATACCCTTTTCAAATTCTTTATTCCCAAAATAAGCTGTTAAAATTACATTCCAAGATACAATATCTCGCTGAGACAAGCTAGAAAATACCAACTCCGCCTCTCTCATGCTTAAGCAACTAGCATACATATTTACAAGTGCACTACTCACATACAGATTCCTTCCCATATTATTCCTAACAACAAACCCATGAATCTCTCTCCCTAATTTCAAATCTTTCAACTCTGAACATGCAGGTAAGACCGAAGAAACGGTCACTGGATTAGGCATCACCCCATTCAAACCCATCTCACGGAAAACTCCCAGACCCTCTTTAGGCAATCCACAGTTAACATAACAAGCCGCCATGGATGTCCAAGAAACCACATCTTTAACTAGAAGGGAATCAAAAACCAACCTCGCCCCATCAACACACTTGCATTTAGCATACATATCAATCAATGCATTACCCAACAAAGTATCCGAAGCACATCCAAATAAAATGGCATCATCGTGAACCTCTTTAGCTTTGGAAAGATTTCCTGATAAAGCACAAGCCTTGGCAACTGACAAGAGCAGGAATTTATCTGGGTGTATTTTATGGGATCGTAAGGTAGCATACCAATGGGTAGCTTCAGTTGGGTATCCATGTTGGGTGTGAGCTGAAATGAAGAGAGTCCAGGTGCGGAGGTCTGGTTCAGTAATTTGTTCGAACAAGTTACGTGCACTGACCAAGTCATCAAAATTCAAACGTTGCCTGATGAATTTGAGGGTCAAGTAAGTAGGTAGATTGGTTGGTAGCTTCGGAAACATGAACAGAGTTCTTAAAATTGTTTTGCCAAAAAAAATAATAATAACTTACCGGCCAGGATAAAAGTTTAGTTTCAAGAAGGTGATTATTTCTTGCCTTCAATGGTTTTCATTCATTTGGAAATAGTTTAAAAGCCATAATACAAAAAAAAAAAAAAAAAAACGTAACCTTTTAATTTATTAAAAACAAAAGTATGAAATTTGACTCTCACCAAAACTGGGACTGCTAAAAAGACCATCACTAGAAGAACTAGGACCTGGCCCGACCCTTACCCTGAAGCAAACAGAAAAACGTTGATTTCTTTTTTGTCTGGAGAGTTCAAGATTCACGGAGAGGGAAGGTGAAAGACATGCTATCCTTTAGGTTTTTGGCAGGCTCTCATTTGCATTCCATTAACCTCAGCAGAACCTTGTCACTAAATATCAGTAAGAGCCTCATCCCATTCTCCCAACTAGGTTCTCTTCGCTTCTCTTCCACTTTCTCCTCCCGAAATCGTTCCAAGATTCTCTGTTGCGATGCGAGCTTTGCACAACAACACTCTCATTTCTCTACCTCCTCTGGTTCTCCCTTTTCAGGTATCCAATTCGTGTTTCATGTGTACGTTTGATTTTTTAGCATTGATGTAATGATGGTTATGAAGCTGTGGACTTTGGTTTTTGACTCCTCCAATCAAATAGAGTTTATTTGGTAGCAATGGATATTTTATTACGAAAATTCTCTTGGACTGCTGATGTTAACTGTACCTTTCTATATGAATCTGTCTTTCATGGTTGTGTTTCGGCAATTCCAGGTCTAGAGGACGATTTTGTGGGTTACGTATTTGGAAAGAGGAAGGCGACAGAAGTGGCTCACTCGTAGGTACTTGATGACCTATTCAATATGAATATTTGTTGCAAGTAATCTCTTTGTATGCACCTGAAGTTATGATGGATAGAGAAAAGTGAGTAGAAAGCAACTTTCTTCTCTTTAATAGAAAGAAAAATTAAAATCTTATCGATAGGGGAAGCTCAAAATTGTGAGTATGTAATTACCAGTGATTCCTACGCCCACAAATTCTGATCCTTTGTCTGATCCTAATACACCCAGTCAAAGAAAACATCTATAGAGCTCCTTGTAAGCGAGTCTGTAACAGAGGCATTGATCCTATTAAACGTCCCGATTTTAGGAATAAGATACATCTAGGAACAGCTGAAAATCTTGTCTTCCATTTCTTTTGGTTTGCATGTTTTATCCAACATAGTGTTCTTTTCTCCCTTGCATACTCAGTAACTTGAATCGTGCAGTTGACAGATAAAATGTTTAAGTCCTTTATTTGGAAAAGGATTACAAAGAATGAGATGATGAACCATGATAATTGAGTTGGCTGATCCATGTACATATAGTTATTGACCTCAAGAATTTTATTGAATTAACTGAAATATTTTATCAATTATGGTAGAGGATATCTTTTAAGTTTTCTTCAATATGTTGAGAGATCTACTGAAACCTTCAGTTTCCTACTAAATTCAGAGATCACTTTTCATAATTCTTGTCTTTTAACCAGGGTATGGAAACATGTTGTTCAAAAAGGTGATACAGTTATAGATGCCACATGTGGCAATGGTTATGATACTTTAGCAATGCTCCAAATGGTAGCAGATGAGTCAGGTAGAGCTCGTGTTTATGGGATGGACATTCAGAGAAATGCTTTGGAGAATACTTCATCTTTGCTGGATGAAAATGTCAAGCCAGAGGAGGTGCTATTTTTATGCCTTTTTTCTTTATCTTATGCATTGTTTTCAAATGAGGAAAGATCAAACATTGCAAACATCTGATCAACAAAGGGTATTTTTATATCAAGGAACTTAAAATTTTACTTCTGCTATATGAAATGTTGATATTAGATATTCCACAATTTAACTTCAGTTTGGTCAGAACGACTTTTTAACTTCTAATAACTTTACTCAGTAAGTGTCAACAGCTGCTAATTTGTGATATATAGCTCAGAGATCCTTTGCCCTTGGAATTACTTTCTAGGACATTACAATTTTTTGACCTAGCTTCGTGTCAGTATGTAAACACTTTATCCAGGCCATTATTCACTGACCCAGCTTTGAGTCTATCTAATTACAATTCATTTGTACTTTTGAAAACATTACATTGATCCTTCCATTCACATGTTTGCATTTATTGGATTGCTAATGTTCACACTGTTCTAATGAGTTACAATTTTATCCAGAAAAAACTTGTCAAGCTCTTTGATGTCTGTCACAGTAGAATGGAAGAAATTATTCCAGAAAAGACCTCTGTAAGGTATTCTAAGCAACTCATGTTTCTGCAGTTCTTGCTTCTATTATATAGTTTACATGACAATATGATATCAATAAAGTAATTTTCAATCTTTCACACACACAGACATATATATATATGTTTGTTTTTACATATAAATTACTTTCCGTAATTACTGTAGTGCGCTTCGTAAAACTATTACAATTCATATCTACTCAATATTTTTACTGAAGGTGTTGAGAGGCGTATTCATAAAATCTCAGAAAAGATTATACAATGGAAAATATTTTTTTCTCTTTAGGATGGAGACTGGTTACCCTCATTTGTTCTTGTGAAGTGAAGTGATCTTTTCTACCTTTCCCTCTTCAAAATCCTATTGCAGTAGTGGATGACATTTAGAATATCATGACAGACTTCCTCTGAAATGGGGCTTGGGATCATTTGGTGAATGTGATATTTGTTTCAAGACAAAAGTTGATGATTGTTGGTCTCAGAGAATATCACTTATCGGTTGGTTATGGTGCTTTTTTTTAGGACGTCTGGCTTTGTGGCATAGGATAATTACGAGAAAATAT